CGAAGGGGGGAGAATCGGGACGAAACGTTTTGTTAGAGAAGAAAGGGATCAGGGTGGGAGGGGAGGAGGAGAGAACGGATGTGAATTACACAGTAACGACGAAGAAAGACACACCGAAGCCAGAAAACGACTTGGAGCTTCCTATCCTGAATACTCTACGCTATGTACAATCATTAACACGCTCTCGAACCTCGTAAATGCTAAAGCGACCCACAGCCTCGGTAAATGTACAAACATCCAAGATTTCGGCGCCCTCCCCCTTCGCTCTACACGCGGAACTGGGTTCTTCTGTTCCCTTTTTTTCTTCTCTTTCTCGCAGCGCCGGAGAAAGTTCATCGTTCAACACGTTGAATCGGTGGACGGTGAGCCGTGAAATTAATATGACAAAATCAAGGAAATACCAGGTGAAACGGATGGATTGACAGTCATGGGAATTTTACGGTTATTCGGTCGAGATTTGTTTCGAGCAAGAGTAAAGTTTGTTTTTCTTTTCGGACTATTTTACGGAGATCCGGCGATCGTGTAATTTTTCCCCCGGGGCGGAAAACACGAGAAGCAAACGGTGCCAGACGTTTCCAAATGAGAAAATGCACATTTTTTTCGCGAGTTCACGCTTGGATGGGAAGATTCATGATCAGCCCCCAGGGGATGACGTTTACTCGTGTATGAAAGATAATTAATTGAATTTGGAAGGTCGACTGTGGACGATCAAAGAGGCAAGATCTTCCAGAAGGATATACGCGTCTCAAATCACACTTTTCACCGTATCCTCGAGCATCGGTCGGAAATCGCCGCGGCAATCAACGTGTTAACAACGCTTAACTCCTTGACATTCGATCACTCGCACATATCTCGAAATATCTCAATGTGATCGGTCCTGCGACGTCTCCAGGTATCTCCCGGTGCGACGAAAACGAAACTTCGACACGGACGGTGCTGATGAATCGCACGCGGGTCGGCCCCGTTCGTCGCGCGTTGCAACTAACGAATTAAAGGTGGGTACACACTGAACGAACGAACAATGAGCGAGCAGCGAATGTGCGCGGTATGAACGTATGTATTCCAAACGCGCATGAATTTCCATTGATAAATCATCTTACGAGCAAATCGTGCGGATTCCGTTACGGCGTGGACACTTTTCAAACTGTGTAGTAACGAAAGCTTGCGTTCGCCGTTCGTCCCTCGTCAGTTCGCTCGGTGCGTATTCAGCTTTAGAGGAGGGCACCAAGTTCGTGGTTTCCGCAGACCGGCCTCCTGGTCGTCGCTGCCGGCGAAAGACGCCACCACTCGTTCGACGTAACGTCTAATCAAGCTCTGGCTCTCTCTCTCTCTCTCTCTCCTCGCCTCTCCATTATGTTTGGTGCTGATGGGTCGGGCTGTGGTGTTGCGACCACGCCGGCGGCGTCGAGTGGTTGAAGTTGACCGAGATCGTGACCGGGTGGAGGACCGTGTCGGGCCCGGTGTCCGGAATGAAGCTGAGGTGCGGCCTGATGAGGGAAGCCTCGACCGTAAGCGGCACGTAGAAGGAACCGGCGTCGTGCAGAGCGAAGATCGGCACTCCGTGGGTCGACGACAAGACCGGCTTGTCGAAGCCGCCGCCGCCGGCGCCGATGAGGCCGGCGACGGGCGGTGAGGAGCTCGATTTCACCCGCTCCGCCGAGAACCTCTGCTTGATGGAGCTCTTGAACTTGTAATTGGCCGGTCGGCAGGACGCGGCGGTGGGCGGCGTGCTGTGCGAGTGGCTGCTGTGGTTGCTGTCGTCGCTTACGATCGTCGGCGGCGGCACCGTCGGCCGCAGCGGACGCTCCGGGTCGCCGAACGAGCTGACGCCGGACGAGCTCGAGCCGTGGTCCGAGTGGCCGCCGTTCGGCTGGCATATCGTCGGAATGCTCGTGTGCGCGTACCCGGCGCCGTTGATCGCGCTGCCGTTCGACACCGGCAGCTCGTGATGCGGGAAGCCTAGCCGGTCGCCTGGGGAATACGAGGGTGATTAGCGCACGGGAAAGAGAGCGGACACTTAGGGGCGGCCCTAACTCGCGAAAACTCGAGTTTAGCACATGGATCGCCGTAAACGCAAGACGTCAACTTCAGATGAAGAATCAATCGTTTTCTTCAGCTTTGCGTACTCGAAAGGGAAGGTAGAGCGGTGTGACTAGGATTCAGACTAACCAGGGTGATATTCGAATCAACCGAATCCTAGTTTCTTCTTCTTGGGATCAAATTTATCAGCAGATAGAGAGAGAGAGAGAGAGGGAGAGAGAGAGAAAGAGAGAAAGTTATATTTTTTTATTAATTACATCAGTCTAAAGCAATATTCATGTTTCAGCTTTAAGTTTCGTCTTAAGTTTACGATGAATTTACGGCAATTCGAATGCGAAAGTCCATACTATAAAACTGCTTTGCGAGTACTTTGAAATTAACTTGCGAACTCGGGTCGAAATTTTGATACCTCATTGATAGTGTTAAGAAGGCTGTAAGGCTTGAAATGAATTTGATAAGAAGTCAATGCAACTCACATTACGTATATATTGAAATATTGTCTAATTACTCGCGCAATTAGAAAAAGACCATTGACCATTTGAAAATGGAGATATTTGCAAATAAAATTGACATTTTCTATATATGTTCCATGAAGTCAGCGTGCTATTTTATAATTCTATTCGTAATATTTTTTCAAATTGAAAATAAGATTTTGATCAAAGACTGCTGATATGGCCATTTTGTTTTAAAAATACAGCGATGTAAAGTTTATAATTTATAGAAATACATATTCAAAATATATATACATACGTACATATTTAAACATTTATATGCCTTTTTCTATATTATCTGTGCATTTTTATTAGAGCAACTGATAGATAAATACATATTATTGATCAGAAAAATAAAAAATAATATTTTTATATTTGTAATATTGTGTGTGTATATATATTTACATATATTTTTTTTCAACTTCATTTCATATTAACATTTATTATTTATATGAGATATGTTATGTGAAATAAGCATATAAAAATGTTAGTTTGTTTTATAAATACAATACAGTTAGTTTGTTTCATAAATACTAAATTAAAAAATAGCCTTCATAATATATGTCATTGAAAATATAACATTACGGCCTTACAATCTCTTTAAGGATAGTTTGCGTCTCTACTTAGATGATCTATATAATATCAGCAAATATATAGATTAGCGATATAGATTAACAAAATC